TCACCACAAACATTTGTTTTTGTTTGACTATTCTCTAAAATAAAATGATCAAACAAATATTTGGATATGTTTGATTAGTATAATACGACATTCGAATTTTATTTCAGAGAGACTTTGTGACAACACCTGTGTTTTATCGAATGATGGAATGTGTCAAGATGGCGGACTTGCTTCTTTTGAAGCCTTCTGTTACTACGGAACCGACTGCTCCGACTGTGGTGCAAGATATTATGGTATGACATTCATACACTGACTGTGCATAAGTAGATAAGTGGCGTTGAAACAAGTATAATACACAAGTAGTTCCAGATTACCTAGATTCCGTGTGGCCCAGATTACTCATCACATGATTATTGTCGCAGCAGTGGTACCAACTGAACGTGGTTATTGTTATCTTCGCAAATGCATCCATCAAAACGAGTCTTTTAAATTGTTGAATCTAAAATGTTACATAACGCCTTTAATCTATATATTTGCCTTCTTGATTTCAGGTCTGTACGATGGTCCACCAATCACCCCCACACCTGGAAACTTCACAACCATTGTTATTCAGGGTACGTCAATGGGACTTCCTTTACCTGGTTTTCAGTCGTTATATCTACCAAACACATACACGTGACTGGCGCTAAGCATTTTTTTTTTACTAATTAATTATTCATTTATTTGGTCGTTTTACGCTCATTCATTCATTCATTCATTCATTCATTCATTCATTCATTCATTCATTCGCTCTTTCCTCTGTCCTTCCATTTATTTATTTGTTTGTTTATTTATTTATTTTAATAGATGATGAACTTGTAAATACTTTGATTGGATTGCTTGGCTGTGCTCTTTTCATCATCATCGTCATCTCCCTGGTACAAGTGTACCTGCATCTAAGGCTACAAAAATTGTCAAAGATCAGTCCCGGTGAGCCATCGCCAACATCAACAAAGGCATCAAAGAGATCGCAAGTGGCGCCCTCTAGGGGCAACGATACTCTCGCGCTCGTCGAGACAACAGAGTTCAGCAATGCCGCTACTAGCAGTGAGATGTAATGTATTCAAGACGTTCGATCGGGAATCAAACTATATGAGCCGACGAAGGGATTACATTTCCCAACGCAAGCAAAACAATTTATGCTGCGTCATATATTGCGACAGAAAACCAGTCGTACTGTTCATATGATATTTATTTGAGGAAACCGCATTATGTGTGCATTTAAAATCAAAATCATTTGTGTGTTTCTCTGTGGAGATGATATTTCACCGGCACAATTAAATATAAAAATATCTATTCACAAGAAACGAACTTAGGTTTGCTATAAATGCCTACACAGTTTTTAAATTTGCAATAGGAATGAATTAGAGAATGTATTTTTTGTAAATGTTGTTGTTTGATTCTGCATATAAATGAACAAATTCGATTAAGTTTACTATACAGTACGTACACAGCTTAGAATTCGTTCCAAATAGAAACTACAATACTCATGTGTTTATGTGTTTTCAGTGTCAACAAACAATTTAACAACGACGTGTTACTTTCGATAATGCGTTTTTAGCGGATCGTTGATTTATTGGGCTTGGGCCTACATATTTATAAAAAAATGTCACTTTCACTTCGCATCTATGCAGCTGTCAAATTCACAGGCACCTAACATGTAAAATCTGGCAAGTATTCATTTTACTAAAACGACTGTCACTGTTTACCGTTACATGCTCCGAACAGGTTTAATATTGTTTTATATTGTTTTACGATAGCCGTATAGCAACATCTCATAAAATATTTGTGTTTCGACAGAAACAACACTAAATATTATTTATGCTAAATCAATGTATTAAAACATGCTAAAAATATCCAACCTGATTAAAATCTGATTTGTGTGTGCTTGTAGCTGGTTTATTTCATATAATTCATATATTTTCTTTTTCTTTTATATATCTTTATTACATTTATCTTATTTTATGTTACTGTAACTATCACCACAAGGTAACAGAAATCTAAACAAAGCAACTAGCAAATAAATGATAAAGTAAAATAAAATATATGAACACATGAAATAATATTTTTTCTTGAAAAATGGGGTGAAAAAAAAAAGATTGAAAAAAAAAATGATTTTTTTTACTATTCTATCCTGATATTAAGCTTAAATTCTCAACACTAAGCAGCTTCTATTATAGGAACAGTTGATCGGTGTGTAGTCACGTTATTATTAGAACAGTGCCCTCAATCGGCGGCTGTCAACAACATTGCCGCCACCAGCGCGCGGCCATCTTTTCGTTGACACAAGTTTTTGTTAATCCCTGATTTTAATATAATAGTCAATTTGCCCATGTAGCGTAACTGGGCCGTGATATCTTAACTTAAAAAAACACGATCGATGTGAATTTTATAAAAGGTACTAGTATCTAGTATAATGGGAATCTGAATAAACTTGTATTATTAATAAGATTGTGTGGTCTCTTTTATGTTTATTATTTGTCGGTGTTTCTGTGTATCATGTTAATGCGATCAACAAAACATGGGATATGTTATATTTTTATGAATGTGTTGTTTTCTCTGTAATGTCCACCAACCCTTACATACGTTACCGTACTGGACAGTGAGGACCGGTGAGTCTTCATTTTCATACCTTCCACTCAAAGGTTTAAAATGGTGGCACTCCGTTAATTAGGTTTATCGAAATTTCATTGTTCCAGGGCTGATTGTTTTTTAAATTATAAAATTATAATTTTAGATACTCTCGCGTAATGGGTATATGTTTAACAAAAAAAATATTGACGGGAACATTTTTGGGTGATTATACTTTTATATAATTGTTACTCAAAATGAAAATAGAACACGTAGTGGTCGTTTAAAAATGTGCGAAACAGTGGGGTTCAATAACGTTACCTGCGTGAAAATGTGTTGAATGTATCCAAACCATATAGTAAAATCACAAATGATTCTAGGCACGTTAAGTTGTTATCTTCAGTTCTGTTTTTGAATAGTTGAATAAACTGTGTCACACTTGAACTTCAGAACTGTACTTTAACTTATTTATCCTTATGTTTGTATGACACATACCGATTATATTTCAATTTACTTCACTTCATTCTTGATTGAGGTTGCTGTTTGCCACCAAACACATTGCTTGTGATGCTAGGAGAAATCAAAGAACTACTGGTGTAAATGTCTGAACATCGGTTGAAATAGACCTTAAAATGTGCATCAAGACGTGCATACAAGTTGGCAGGTATAAATATCATCAGATAATGGCATTTCTGTTTGATGTTTTTTCAGGATGTTTCGACCGGTTTGACGGATGTAAAAGCACAGTCAGAGAGTGAAGTCGAATATGGAATACATAAAATCATAAATACGTCGCTGCGAATGTCACTGGATGTAAAAAAAAACGGCACATGCATTTTCACTCCAGGAATAAAATTATTTAGTTTCAGCACAGAAATACTACCTGTGAGAATGCATTGAAATCAGCCACGTGACAGTAACTACGTACATTGTCGTGCTGTTCTGCACGCGTATCTTTTCTGAGACTCAATCGTCGCTATGCGTTTGAACTGAGTAGCCTCGTAAGATGATTCAATCACCAAACCAGCAATCAATCCACCCTTACTTCCCCCACTATACAGTGTTACTTAGATTCCGTCAACAGCGTTAAATTATGTCGAGAAAACGAGAAATATGAACGGATTAAGACTAGTATGCAACTAATATACTTGCACACATTAAGTTCATGACGTGGGTTATGTTGTTACTACGTACGGCATTCACAATATGATTAATGCCAATTGACCTCATATGCATGGGTAGGTGAAAGTACGACTGTTTACAATCTGCTTGGTTGGAAGGCAGTGTGCACGTCTATTCAGTCATACAAAGGTACTAGTCCTAAATCACTCACGCGTGAAACAAGATTTTAAAAGTTGTCAAAACACACGTCGTTGAAGCAACCACGCCCTCAGCAATTGCCAGTTAGAGCGACATAACGATGGTCGGATACTCTCAAAGAGAGGTAGCAAGCTGTTGAAATGATACATCACCCGGTGTCGGAATTGACTGTCAAACAGAGTTCTTTTCAATCGTGTTTGCGTCAATTGTAATATTTTGTTTAATACTTTAAATATGTACACAGAACACGCACGCATGCGCTTACTAATGCAATATACTTGTCGAGCGTCACGGTTCACCCATCCTCATACGATGAGCTGAGTCATACCTCGATCAAGTCACCTCCTCCCCCGGTTTAATCTTGCAAGTCCCGGTAAATCGATCATCATTGCGAACAACTGTTTCATATAAATATTAGCGACTAGCAGTAATACGACGGTGAGAAAATGTCATTTGTGATATAATAATCAGTGGAAAAACAAAAACACGTGGAACAGCTATACGTTATACCTCATCAAAAAATGTCTGCATTTTTAGAGAACATTCCCCATATATTTTCCTGAATTCCCAGGATTAACAATAAATTTATATGCAAATCAATCTATCAGACTAATCTGGAATTCAAAAAGGTGATAGGTACACCAACAAGTGCATGAGCAGGAGGGCGGCCATTGAACACCGATAATGATTGGAACGCACTTGTCTCTACTTGTTTCTACTACATCAACATTCATAGACACACGTACGGCGTCGTTCGACAGAGCCATTCCCCCTATTTTATTCCTGTTCAGAGAGTCCATAAAAGTATCAAATTGGCATACTTTCATATCCCCAGGGCTACTACTTGAGTTACTACCGCTTCCCAAAATAAGCCTTTCAAATTGGCCATATCATACTGCCTGTGATTTTTACGACAAACAAAACCAGCGTTAACAATTATCCTTCTTACTAGACCCCGTGGGCTAGGAGATTACCTCTGGTATGCCCTTATACTGTTAATGTCCTTCATAACTTTTTAATAGACCCCATTGGTCATAAGCACCTTTGTGGCGAGCTACTATTATTTATTTCTGAAGCATAGTTCTACGTGCTAGATTTGTGTTTTGTACCAACAACCCTCATAACACAGAGCTGAATGCTTCAGGCGCAGCGCAAGTCTCAAAAGATTTCAACTTGTCAAGTTTGCTAGCTATGTACAAGTATCGGACTTATTTCGTCGTGTGGAGACTTGTCTTTGTCGGATCAGTTTATGGTGGGTTTCGGGTGAAGGTATTTTTGTTATCTTTCCATAAACAATCACATTCGTTATTTTTTTAATATATCTTTGAAATTTACAAGTGTGTTGGTCAAATCGAAGACCGATTTCAAATAACGAACTATTATGACAGAGTATTAGTGTTATTACTAAATTGATAGTTGTGTTGATAATGGCTGGGCGACTGAACAAGAATTTGTTCGTTGTAGCTGTATACTACGGTATATATGACCAGTGCTGGACCAGGGCTGGGAAGAACTGAGAAATTGATCAATATGTATTGTTACTCCTGTTTTTTTTTTCTTTTGGAACTATGCTACAGTTTTCTTTACATGCGTCACGTAGTAATATATTCTGGCATTTGATGGTTGTTAGTCCCGACTGACACCTGACGGATTTGTTTTCAATAACGTTCTATGCTGCTGCTTCTTTTATCTAGTTTAATACTGAATGTAATATAGATAGTGTATATTGACTCGATGGCCTGCGTTCGCGTACCTTCATGTCGTAGTTCTTTTTTTTTTTTTTAAAGTTGTCGCGCATACATTGCTATACTTATACAAAAAAATGGCATTTGTTGACACTGGGTGTACGTTCCTATGCACGACATGGCAATACAAAATATTTAATTTTTGTACAATATATGTTATTATAAAACGAACAGCTTCCTCGTGCGGTGAATGGACTGACTGGATGGACGATGAATTTGGAGGTATCGTCGATTTGACCACTGGTGAATTTGAACTAGTCGACGACCTTCGAGCTAATTTCAGTATATGCTCTTCGCCGTCGTCCTTAGAGTGCCAGACGGCGATTCCTCCGTTTCTGTCCTATGATCAGACTGGACAAACAGTCACGTGTCAACTTCCACATGGATTAATATGCTTTCATACAGACAACGTATCACCATGTAGGAACTATGCTGTAAGGGTTTTCTGTCCAAGGGAGTGTACTACGCAGAACCCAATAACCATGGGCAGCGATTTGTCAACCGAAGGTAAAGAGATCATACTCATTTTAAAACGTACACAAATATTTGAAGCTCTCATGTCTTTTCCAAAAATGAAAAAAGTTCAGGGCGTATATTAGGATCAAATATAATGCGAGGAACACTGAGCGGAAATAGGTTAGATTGTAGGTTCAAGAATGATACGATGGAAATTATGGTCGATATTGGATTAGGAATAAGTCTGGAGAACGGTGGGAGACAGAGTGAATAGCGGGTTACTGGATTCCACTGGAGACGTCATCGGGAACGGGAGTATAAGGTGCATACATGATGATGAGGGCACTATTAGGGTATTGGGTTCACGAATGAACAGATGAATTCAAGAACACACATACACACGAATGATTGAATGAACGAATGAATGACATTTAAGTTTAATATGTAAATTTATTTATTGATTTTTCTCAATAGATTACAACGACAGCATTACGAATATATCTACACCAAGGACAGTAAGCAATTCATCAGAACTACATTCAATGCGATCGTCGCAAGGTAAACTATCGGCATTTATCACATATTCATACATAATTATTGCGTTACATTTATTAAGCAAACGTGTAACATAGTGTAGCATTTTGACTCTACAAACTCGACACATCATTGATAGTGGAAGTAATGAAGCTGATTGGTATATCGGTTAAACACGTCACGTCTGATGAAATGTATACTTGAAATATTGTCACGATATGAGTCGTAACATGAACCAAAATATCTAGTCGGCTCGCGATCAATCCACGATGTGGTCTCATGTTTTGCCAAAAATTAAAAGAGTTAATAATGTTTGTTATTTTTAGATGTGGGAGTTGTATTGACAGTGTTAGGGGCCACGATCGGGTCACTAGTCCTATTAGGCGGGACAATTGCTGGTGCTATCTACATATCAAAGAAATACCAGAAGAGTTCGTGAAGAGGTGGGACACTGGTTGTGTGGCAATGGTTAGCTTTCACACCTATCTACGTGATGGAAAGTTGTATATTGGAAACAAATTCCGACCCATTCGATTTACGCTCAATGTGGGATGGTTCTCTTTTGTCGTCAATTTCATCGAGGCGCAATCAATAGTGCGACAGACCGTATTGTGACGAGGACTATCCCGGCTCTGTGTGTGTGCGTGGCTTGAACGCGATCTCATGTCAACAGGAGGAAGTCATCGACTTATTTTTCGTTATTTATAGATATTCATACGGAATGATGACGTTGTTTTGTTGGGCAAGCTTTTTTCCAGAAAAAAGTGGTTTAATGGCAGTCTCGAAAACCTACTCCATGCCTCAGCAGTTTTAGGTCAATTATACTCTCAAAGATAATTTGAAAAGCCGTAATATGTGACTGACCACTCTGGGATTTGATGATCAGAATTCCGGTCTACTACTTTCTACACACGATTAGGATGTCCCATTTCACGCATATACTTTATAATGAGTTCATTGACATACAGATTTATATTACGTAATGCCACCTCCCCTCCTCCTTTACGACCAACCCACACATGCACGTACGCTCAGCGGGGTGTTTTACATGTTCTTTGGTCCATCTATACAAATTGTCACCGATATCTCGTCGAAGGCGAGAGCGCGTCTAAGATCTATCAGCGATATCAATCATCATAGCCAATCAAATGTGTTATTTGATTTCTGAAATGCGGCGGGTGAGGGCTCACTTCAAGTATTTTCTGAATCTATTTTGAGGAGTTATTGACCGAATACCTATATTTCCAACATAATTGTTGTTTTTTAATGAATTGACGCACTGAACCTGAAAAACAACAATTAATCAGTTTTGTGAGGATTATATAACGCCCATATGTTGTTGTTGTTAAGCAGTTGACAATCCACGCAAATATTCATCAAAATTATATTCACATTTTTAACTAGGAAAACTGCTGTTAGAATAATTCTCCGGAACGTCGATTCTGTCGATGTGAATCAGTTTATAGTGGATTGGGATATTCGCAGCCTTCAAGCGCGCCACCAACGGCCATTCATTTTATTTATTTATTATTGAACTCTTGAAACGACAAGACCAACTTATACAAATACCTCATATGCGCGATAATCAAAATGCTCTAATCGTTTTTTTCGACGGTCATTTTAAGGTTGTCCCAACTGAATAAGACCAAAATAAAAAGAGCCGGAAGTGAGGCAATTGATGTAAGACCGCCCTCTTCTGGTGAAAGATTCAAATATTTGTTTTGAGACAGACATATGTATTGTGATTAAATAAACTTGCGGTGTATGTACACAAATATTGACTTCGTTTAAGTTTAATAAATAATGCGTTTTTATTGTCACATTTATGATATACGTTTGAAATTACCAAGTGGGAAAAGCAAAGATTATGGTTGTACTAATTCTCGTAGAGTAGAGTTTGTTATTTAAATAAATATATAATAAATAGTAAATATATCAAATATTGTGAAATCATGCACGAATTTTGCATCATATTTATTGCATGTATTTGTCATGCAGCTTCGAAAGGTTATAACCGATCGCCGTTCATTAGCAGCGAGTACTGTCAGTTACCCCATAGTGATTAGAAAATAAAGTTGTTTTTTTTAGAGCTATCACCATATTCACGGTTTCGGGAAGCATTAGCAACATATTATGACAATTTAGGTGATGACAATGGAAATTTTGGAGACAATGCAGACCGTGACATTTGGATACATTGAGCTTGGGATAATCTGAAATTATGTTTTAAATACATGCGCCAACTATCAGAAATATTCAAATGAATGTAATTCATAATAATAATTCAAGTAATATTTTAGAAAACACTACGATAAAGACTTTCCGTTTTTGACATTGTAATATTTTTTCGTTTTTTGGGGGGGAGCTGAAATCAACTAATTTTGACAAGAAAATTCATAAATATATTAAAAATAATTCATAACGAAATATTTTCCGTATGCACACCAATGACATTTTTCATAATTACCGTTTACACAAGGTTGTAACGGAAGAGGGTAATTTGCCATATTCTCTATATTTATGTCTTTTATTTATTTGCTTTGAATTATGACTGAAATTGAAGAAGCTGAATAAAATTACCTGTATAAACAAGAACTTTAATAAATATGATTTGGCATGATAAAAACTACATAAAAACGAAGGAATTTTACAATGTCGAGATGTTCACATTTCTATATATTTTTGCGTTTTATTTGTCTTCAATTGTGACTGAAAGACGCTGAATGAAATTACAAACTATGTAGTGTGTTCAACAACTCATGTATGAACAATAACTTAAATAAATATGATTTGGCTAGGTAAAAAATACTGTATTTTACCTCATAAAAACGAACGAACTTCACAAAGTCAAAACGGGAACTCGTTATCGTAGTGTTTGACTATCCTCCAAAAACCCATTAAGCATTTAGAATATTTTGTGATTGTCAATTATGATAATAAAAGTTTAATCTGCTTGCATGAATCAATAAGATCATGGATTTGTATTACACAGTATTGCATTATTACCTGTTTTAGTACGATGAAACACCATCGACAATCAAGAGAACGGAAACGAATTGTGTTGTGAAAATCGTGTTATAAAGCGTGATATCGTGACTCAACTTACATTGGAGACGAAAATGAAATGAATATGCTCTTATATGTTGAACTGTCTACAGATGAAGGAAAACACCCACTGTGAAGATATGGAACTGTGCAACAAAAACGCGGATATTCTTTTGTCAACAGGAAGGCTTAGAAACAGTGTGGTTTTTATTGTGTTCAGACAGCGTGTCACCATTAAAAAGGTGTATCATTATAAAAGACAGTTTGGGATGGTCCACAGTGTCAGTACCAGCGGTGATGGCGTACAATACCCGCTAGTGTCCAGCGCCATGTCATGACCATTAAACGGCGTGATCAATCGGGTTAGTATCTACATATCTTCCACTACATATAGTTACAATATTGTGCCTTAATGATATATAATCGCAGCTTAAGAGTTATGTTCCGGTTCGAGATAGTCTCTCGTATATCTGCTGGGTTAAAGTACCTTCTCTGTTACCAGCAGTACGGTATTTGCGATAACACAGTCGGTAATCACTAGTCAGCCGTATATATACTAAACGCCAATCCCTCGTTGGCGATTGTCTGCACTTATCTGGGGGACGCGAAGGTGTAGGTGTCCTGCTTAGTTTACTTGTGTTCGCAATGCGTAAAAGACGCGCTATTCTCACCATGCGAAGACCAATATTATTTTTCTACGATGAGATATTAACAGTGCTTATATTGCTTTCATGGACGGGCTTCGTGTGTATTTATAATAACAACTGGTTTGCGCATTTAAATGTGGGTTGAATTGGTTGTTATACGCATTATATAAACAAACTCGTAACTCACTTGAATTTGACGGCCCACTAATACATGTACATTACCCTAGATCACAGCAAGACCAGACAAGTGCGGTCGTGCCTTTCGACCCCAATTCATTACGCTGAGAACTACTACACCTTGGGGCTCAACTTTCAATTCACAATTTGAAATCACTGAGCAATAATGGATGTCTTTGAGATTATGTTGAAAACAGCGGTAGTTGTGGTGGCTGTGTTAAACCTCGTAAGTAATTGCACTATATGATATTAGTAGCTACGATTCGATACCATATATCACATATCATTGATCAGGGTATCATTGATTATATAATGTAATATATGATATGGCAAGACACGCGACAGGACATGGCAGTATATGCAACACAATTACATGGGATAAGAAATGATATGACAAGACACGACATAACATGACATAACAAATGATACGAGATATGATTATGTGAACAGGACATGACATTACTTAACAAATGATATTATACATGATATGACATGACATGACATGATATGACATGACATGACATGACATGACATGACATGACATGACATGACATGACATGATATGATATGATATGATATGATATGATATGATATGATATGATATCGTTGTAATTCATTAGGTGCATACGTCATGTGATACATACGGATGTGAACACCTTTGTGTTGATGTCGCCAATGACTCAGTGTGTAGCTGTAATTCGGGATACGCATTGGATAACGATGGTTTGCATTGTAATGGTAATTATCATTAACTTTACTATTTTACACAAAATAATAACTACAGTACACTAAAACAGTGAGTACGTCAATACAAATATATATATAGACAGCTGAGCGTTGCCAGTTGTGATTGGGAATCTCATCGGTGATTGATGTTAAATCTTCCTGATATGTGCCTATATATATAACTGTCAACTATACACTGTTTATTTTTATTTAGATGTTGATGAATGCTTGCACGGAACATCAGGATGTTCACAGGTGTGTATTAATACAATTGGCGGTGCGGAGTGCGAATGTTACGCTGGATACCAACCTCACCCGAACCGACGGTTTTCACATTTATGTGTCGGTAAGTCCCAGGGCAATATACAATACAATAATATACAAAAGTTGGCCCCGACCAACAGATTTGTCAACCCGAAGAGAGTAAATTATTGAATCTGAAATCTGTATAACGACCGCGACAGAGTCAATATTTGTATTATTCTGCCCACGCGTATATACAGAAAGAAACACTGTATACTGGGTTCACTAAGACCCAACAAATAACTTTATTTGGTGATATTTAAGATTTGTTCTGTGCTACTCAAATGTACGATACCCAAACTAATTGGACAACATACAATTTCATCGCATCAATTAACTTCCATAGCAACAAACATCAGTACATGACAATGTCGTATCATTATTATATACAGTACAATATATGAAATAACTTTTAATAATAAGACAATAATTGGAATAGAAGGGAATAGTTTGTTTACTACTGATTTTAGATCTAGATGAATGTTCCATCGATAACGGTGGGTGCAGTCATAACTGTACGAACACAGAAGGTAGCTACAACTGTTCCTGTGTTGATGGATTCATACTCTGGGAAGATGACCATTCATGCGGTAAATACATCATTTAACTTATATTTGTTTAGTATAGACAAGTAACCTTTTTTACGGCTACGTATTAAAGGCCGGCGACATAAATATATTATTATATTGTTATGATCAATACCTAAGACTAGGCCTGGGAAACATCATGTAGGAATGTGCATTGCACACAACCCACTACCTCTTGCCGTCCTATCATTTCAACTCTCTCCTTCATTAGCATTGTTGTATTCTTGGAATAATTAATTTAGTTAATTTGGTATTCCAGGCACCAAAACGACTAGAATAAGTGAACCTGTATGTCCTAGATTATAAAAACCGACTGCCACCCCAGTCGCGTTTATACTTCAGTTCTCATATGTCGGTGTACAACTTTCGATGGACTTTACATTTGTGGGTGGGGATTCAACTAGCAAATGGTATAGGGGTTCATTTACCAACCACAGAAGTCACAACCATGTTGAAGTATTGTGATGGGTTTTATAGGTATACATGAATAAGTTTCGCATGTCAAAAAACTATAATTTGAATACGACAGTGATTGATAAATTTCGCATCGTCAGAAGAACTTCCTCCGCGTTGTTTCATCGTAACATCACGATACATTTGTCGCGTGTTTAGGAGTTTACGGAGGACGTTGCTAATGCCATATAATATACCTTGTCACGGAGGACGATCCCCTTTCCATGGTTTTCAGCGCGCGTCATTCGAACTGAAAGCATTCTTGCCAATAACAGCGTGACAGCAGCTCATCGCATGTAATATTGCTGTTGTCAGCTGCTAGTAAATATTAAGGCAGAAAATACTTTGTGAGCGTCATTGATTAAATATACATTTTTTTTATCTACGATTAGATATTGATGAATGTGTAATACAAAACGGAGGGTGTTTCGATTTGTGTATAAACCATTTAGGAACATTTGAGTGTACCTGCCAAGATGGATATTATTTCACGAACGATGGAGTTTCATGCGAAGGTATATGTTCATTATATAATAGAGCGGAATAATCAATTCGTGTAAGAGTGCGTGAGCAATACCGAGACGGCATATATGTGACACGCATGATGTATGCGCATACATTTGAATAAATGTTCCCGAACGAGGTTCTACGGTGACCGGCATCATTGGCCCAAAACGTCGTGCTTTGTTTCTACTCCTTCATCGGCTCCCTGTTTATAATATTAAAGAGGGGAGGTTGTCGCGCCGGGCTCTAATCGATATGGGAATCGTAGCAACGAACAAAACGTGCGTAGAATACATTGTTTTCATGAAATTCGAACATGCGCTGCGCGACGACCACCGGCCTTTAACTAATAAGCCATTCTTAATAATCGTGGACCGCCTCCATTTGTGTCGTAAAGATGACGTATACTGTCAAAGGCATTATCACATTCAAATCGACAAGTGTGTTATATTGTGTAGTCGTTCGACATTTAGAATATAGTAAAACATCCAAAAAATAAATCTTCATCAATGGACGTCATAGAAGCGTCTCGATTAAAGACACGATGTATTGCACACATATGAAGTATTCGTAAAATGTGTAATGCTTATAATATGTTTTCTTACAGAAATTACGGTTTCTCCAGCAACAGGTAAGGAATTTTACTCAGGAACCAATCGACGCCGAGTGTTGTGTCGTGATTTCGCAATTATGCCAATCATACAACATAGCTCTTCTGATGCTTTGGAAGTGATGTAGGCCGTCGCTCTTTGACGTCATATGTTTACATTTTTGCCAACCGGTATACAAGATTGTGATAACAAAAGTCAACGTAAAAACCATGAATTACGCGGACACATCGCGACAGTCATGTATTTGGGATTTACAAACATTGTGCGTAAATGCGTTTGTAAATGCATATCGGGGTACGCATTCATGTGATGCGAGTCTCGCACACGCATGCGTAGTTTAGACTACAACAATAAGTACGATGCTGAACAACGTCTGAAATTATTTCAACTCTTATCTAACATATCATTCTCTTTTATTTTTGTAGAAAACAGCACGCTACCAAGCCAAGAAGCATCAACCTCTTCTCAAGGTACAAATATTTTATACATAAGCAATTATATTTTTAGTTGATTGGAAATACTTTAAAGCGGCGAGGTCGTCACCTGCGCGACGATAACAACGCACGCTGAAAACGCAAACTCTCACGGTCAGACAGTTGTTTGTATTTTTCGTTTTTCTTTAGATATAATGTCCTTGGTATCCATCGCAATGGCCGTGATAGTAATCGTCGGCCTTCTCATTGGGCTTTCATTCACGCTAGCGTGGTATTTGAAGAAAAAAACATCGGTTGAATTCGGCAGTGCATACAGAAGGTTATTGAACTCGATGGCGGAACTTTTTGTGTACTCTGTTATGAACAAGGAGTTCTAATTTAAACAATCCAATAAAATACATTTACTGATATTTTTTTTTTTTCACGAAGTTAAGTTTGATGAATCTACAAAGACGTCCCAACGTAATTTAACATGATGTTGAATATTAGAATTGATCCAGTCTCCGCACAGGATCACCAATCTATTATCGCTGAAACAATGATAACTTGAGTCTCCGACCTTATCATTAGAGATTGAGGTCAGGTGATGTGCAAAGGATGCTTTCGAGAACAGAAGATGTGGCATCATTTCATATACTTCGCATTATAACGTACTATACTGTTCGTGTTTTGAGCAAGGGGTGTGCACGTGGCTGTCATCATTCGCTCTGAAACTTGACATAACGGGACAACGTAGATGCTCGCATTGCACGAACGAGTTATTAGAACAATCAACTATTGTGTGTGTTTTTTCAAAAAAGTTCGATGGATTTGATGAAACATGCGAAGTTGTGGTCACACATACTCAGAGAGGCAATATGACGTTCATAATGTTCAGGATAATAACGCTAGTG